CTAAGCAAAGCCGAAACTGCACTCAACTCTGAGTGAGAATATCTTTTGGGAAGCAAGTATATGTAAAATACAATGAAGACGTCTGTTCTACTCAAATTATTGTGGGAAAATTTAACTATCAGTCCTTCATTTCCTTAAACGAAATATGGTGAATATATCTCATATTAATTTCTTATAGTATTCTAATGCCGTTCACAGATATCTTTTATCCCCTATGCCTACATAAATTAATAGCTGGCTTATGTATCTATTCAATTCTATCATATTCAACCATTTCGTCTCGTCAAGGCTTCCATATTGAAGTTAAATACATTATACGACTTTAGCGGCCTTACGAGTGTTGTTATCAAGGTTATTAATACTATGTTTGTTATAGATTATGGTTAATGATTAATACTTGATGTTATTTATGGTTAATGATATTCATTGTTATTCGGCCTTGAGGCCGAATTTACGCTAACGGGCCCTATCCCACATCGCCTTGTTCTCAAGATCTACTCATAGTCTCTGAATTTACTTAATATAACTATAAGTAGGTTGAATTGATTTTCGCAACTTGATCATGATGTCAGGGTGACTTAGTTGGACGCACCTTGTCCGAAGTCCTCTGCTATTTTAATTATCTTAATTCCCAGTGTCGGACCATGGACTTGGTACATTCTCAGACGTTTCGCCCACATCGACATTCACAACACCAAGCTACAACTCATCAACTAGACTAGGGAAGTGGGTTGACCTCGTCGCAACTTGGTCTTGTTTTCAGGGAGAGCAGAACAGAAAGAGCAATGAGAGTAAAATAGTTTCGGCAGAAAGTTTGGTTAAGGGATTGACTTCCATAGTCTAATTGAATATATGAAGACCAAGATGTTGTGGCCTCTGGTGTGGTAGCAGTCTCCTTTCGATTGATAGAATTGGATTGAACTCGTTGTCGCAACTTGGTCTTATTTTTAGGGAGACAAGAACGCACCTAGTCCGAAGTCGTCTGCCATAGTAGTTGTCATGATTCCCAGCATCTGACAGTGGACTT